CGGCTAGTTAGCCCTCGTGATTCAGTTGGCGTTAACGCGGGGTTAGCTGCGACAGCACGCTGAGCGTTTATCAGGCGTCTGAAGATAAGAGTGTTTGTAAAGGACGACTAAATGAATGTGTGTGTGTTTTCTGTCCGTGTCTGTGGGGGGGGCGGACAGAGGGGGGGGGGATGAGGGGACGGAGGTTCAAGTGGTTCTGATCCATGTTGACACAGTCTGGTGTGGAGTGGAGAGCTTAACCCTGACACTCCAGTGAATAGAACCCATTATGTCATTCAGTTGTTTGAATCAGTGTGAGTCATAAATAACAGCTAACGACTCAGCGCTGGTGAAATCGATGCGGCCACATGACAAACATCGACCTCTGGTTTCTGCAGCAGCTCAGTCTGAAAAAAACAACGACAGGAAGAGAAGAGAAGACGACGAGGACGAGATTATGTGGAGTCCAGCACAGATGGCTCGCTGGTTTGGAGGCTTATATGCCCCTCACTCACTCACTCGCTCACTCACTCACTCACTCACTCACTCGTTCGCTCAGTGTCGAGGTCAGTCATCAATTCAGAATATTTTCTTCCATTTTTAATCCACGCAGTAAAATGTAACATTCTCATTTTTAAATCAAGTCTTTTTGAGAGAAAAAAATAAACATCTATAAAATCGATCTATTTTAAAATCTCCATAAAAAAGTGATGTCTCAGACTCCTATTGGATGTCACGGCTGTCAATCATAAAACCTGTATCATTATATATATGAAATGGCAGTAAAAATGAGACTTAACGGCCACAGAAATGGTCTGAGAAATTCTTATAATTTTGACTCAGACTCATGTCCTGCACAGACGGAGTGGACGTCGACACCACCTCCACTTATGAACCAGCTACGGTCCGTGGTCTGAGTTCTACATCTCAGATCTGTCGACTCCAAAGAGCTCGGTTTCCCCAACAACCAGTGAGCGCCTCCTCCTGTCAGTAAAACATACAGATAAAGAACCAGGGCATTAACCTGAGTCAGTTTAAGGTCGCAGCGACAGCTGAGTCGGTTCCTTCACAAATGACCGTCTGAGGAACAGAGTGACCGTGAGGAAGTGAAATTAACCCTGCAGTCTTCGATCAAATCCTTTTTTTTTTTGCACAGATAGGCATCGAAGCCTGAATAGAACTCATCACTGACTTAATCACCTCTTCAGAACTCATTATCTTCAAGGCCTGGTGTGCTACGCTAACAAGCCTGAGCGATGTAGTGCAGTGCTGCGTCAGAGCCACAGAGGTGCGCCGCAGAGGCCCTCGCTGTTACTGGTCCCTCCTGTCTCTACACATCACTTCACCCTGTGCTACAGCGCGCTCGGCCCCGCAGCACCTCAGGCGTAGTACTACTCCCTAATGCTGGCATTACGAAAGAGAGAGAGGGGGGGGGAGGGTCACGCTCTGAGTCTGCGAACGCCGAGATCTGGTTGTATTTCACTGGAACCAAAAAAGAATTTTTCAGACAGAGGGGGCGCTGTAGTTGGAGAATAAATAGATATAAAAGTTGGATTTCAAATTTAACTCATTGCTGATTTTCTCGGGGCGGCAGCCGTCAAACAGTGGCACCGTAGACACTGCCCCACCAACAGAGGGCAGCATTCAAACCAGTCAGAGCCACAGAACTGCTGTTCGTTCTCGGGGGCCTTAAGGTGGTGGAGTGGGTGGAGACGAGTGTCTGGAGTGATACGCGACAGAAGAATAGCTAAAGTTGGAAGGTGTGTAGCAGTTAGCATGGCTAGTCCTGGGTTCGATTCCCGGAGGAATCACATACTTTTGGTCGTTTGAAGACAGTAGTGAGATCTGCTATGATGTATTGTCTAGAGGCAGTGGTCCAGGATGAAGTGAGCAGAGCTGAGGGATGATGAGATGACTGTAGTTCAAGAAGAGAGAGGCAGGTGATCTGCTGTAGCGCCCCCTGGAGGGATGAAGCGAAAGAAGAAGAGGAAGAAGATTCTGTAGTTCCTGCATTCATTCGTGCCTCACGGTAACAGGTGGAGGAGTCAAATCAACGTGACACCAGCGAACAGCAGTGAAATGAAATACGTTTCCTTCGAACGCGTCTCTTAAAAAATGTCTGGACAGGAGTTCACGTTGTTGTTCGTCATCAGTAAAAGGCTCTTTGACAACGGACAGGAATGTAGCTCCACCATAAATGGTTTTCAGATGAACATTATGGGTTGAGCTCAGAGTAACAGACTTCTGCTCCGGACCATTATTCACTTAAGGCTTCGTAATGGGCAGCAGGATTCTTGTTTTTTTTTTTTTTAATCTGGAGAGTCCAGGGAAGTTAACGAGGCCAGAAAAACACAATATATTAAGCTAATGGTAACATTATGCTCCAGGTAACTTGGCAATAAAAGAAAATGATGAAGAGGGGCTGTGGGGAGGGGGGGGGGGTAACTGCAGGACCTGAAGTCCAATAATATGTTTACACCTTTAATTTTATTGTCCAAACTGCAAATAATCCCTGATGTAGAATTATGGGTCACCACCGCTGTGATTATCGACTACGGCAGGCGATCAGTGCCTCAAGACGTTGGCCTTAGTACAACATCCTGGTTTGGGATGAGTCACTGGCTCTGTTGGCGCCACCTGCAGGCCTGATTTTCTACCTTTAAACCCTCTCTCGTCCACACTTTTTTGACTCGTGTGCGTCGTGAACCGCTGTGAAATGAACACCGAGCTTCATCTTCTGTGTCCTCAAAATAAATTAAAGCTGGAGAATGTCAAAAACCCGACTCATATTTATTTCAGAGAATCCTACGTTTCGTTGTAATTGATTTTGCGAACAGTAAAAGGATGAGTTCATTTATTCCTCTCCTAACTGCCGTTCTTTGTGTCACAGCAGTTTGTTTTATGAGGTCTGTCGTGCAGAACACGTTATGATGTTGAAATGAGGTTTTCCCAGTTCCTGAAAATGACATTTAAAAAAAAACTCCTGTAACTCTTGGACCGTAATAATCAGATTTTATAAACACATCATCAGTAGGAACACTGCCCTCTGCTGCTATTTTCTTGTTTCTTTTCCTTTTGTGTGTTGCCAGATCTGAGGGGAAATAAAAGTTTAAGAAATACAGAGCTGGAAATATAAGGTTATATTTTTATTTTTTATTTTTTTCAACAGCCCTTCTCTAACTTACTGTTATATCTGTGTGGAACTCAGTGTCTCGTGGCGTTACAGTAATGCCTCAGTGGACTCTGCTGTTGCCTTGTCAGTGGATGATCCTTTATTTTCTGTCTAATCCTGAGGCCCGACCACACATGTCCATTGATGAAGTCCTGGGGGTGGGGAGTGGGGGGGGATGGGGGTTGACCTATATACCTGCTGACTCTTACTGACCGGTCACAGCAGTGGTGTGACGTAGCACAGTCTGATGCTGTGACATGTGACTCGCTTCACTTCACTACGACTTCCTTCAGTCTGAGCTGCAGAAATTATTATTGTTATTATTATTGTTATTATTATTATTATTATTATTGGATGGAGGTTTTAATGCAGCGACAACAGAATCTCATATGTTCATATGTTGAATTTTTATATATTAAGAATCAATCATTTATATAAATTTTTTTCATCAACAGTAAAATGTTTTGTTGTAATGAATATTAAATTTAATGCTTTTTAATGAAACCCTGTATATACGGACGCTAATTTAATTTGTTAATCATTTTGCTAATTCAAATTTAATTTAAAAACAACCTGAAAACTTCTACTGCTGACGTTTTTTTTTTCTCCTCAGACTCGGCCCTTTTTTTTTTCTTTTTTTTTCTTCGACAGCTCAGTGTTGTTGAGTTAATAATTCACACTCACCCTCTGCTTCGATGACCTTTATTTGCTACAAATGAATCATAACCAAGTGTCTCATGAATCTGCATAAGATGTAGACACGGGGGGATTAGTAAAATGTTTTATTATTATTCATTTTTCCTTTGGTCACTTATGGTGACATTTGCTGTAGAGCGTAAACAAACAAACAAACAAAAACGAAACGGTGGCGCGGCCTGATAGGACGTAGACGCAGGAAAGGGGAAACAGTGATTATAACATTTAGAAGATGATGGTGGTCGACTGAGCCTGAGGCAGTGTTGAAACAAAAGCCAGATCAGAATGTTATCAGCCAATCAGGGACTAGGATTCATTTACTCTCATAATCCCCACTGAGAGACGACGACATTGTGTGTGTGTCGTTATCGTAGCCTCCTGTCTTTGACACCTCTTTTCATCTCAGACTGTCTTAGAAAGAAGAGACTCTCACTCTGTCAGGACAAAGCTGTACACCAGGGGGCGTCAAACTCAAATTCACAGCGAGCCAAAATTTAAAAAAATTATTTTTTTCATATTGAAACAAACTTTAGAACGGATTTTTTTCATATTGAAACAAACTTTAGTTTTGCGTTGAATTTGGAACAACCACAACCAATCACAGGCCAACAACAACAACAACAACAACAACAACAACAACAACAACAACAAAAGTGCTTTAGCACAGCACATACACCGCTAATACTACAAATACTACAAGTATATGGGTCTACACACTGACGGAACAACTCAAGTACACATTGGTCTCATGGACCAAATATAATTACACCGCGGTCCATATTTGGCCCCCGAGCCTGAGTTTGACACAAATACTGTAGTCATTTTTTTTTTGCGAACATGTGTTTTCTTAAATAGGATCTCAGAGGAAGTGGAATCATCTCGCTCACTTTCCAGGTAACGATCACCTACGGTCGAACATCAAATACCAGTATGAGTGTACCGAGGTGATGCGAGCGCTTTAAATGACAGCTGACATTTCCTACTCACAGCTTGTGGTTCGGCTCCTGGCAGAGAAACTGTGCAGGGCACCGAGTCCTGCTGTGAGCTGATTGACAGTGAGAGGGCAGCACTGAGGACGTGTAGGTTACACACAGGATGTTACAGCACTGCGTGCGCGTGTGTGTATTTCTGGTGTAACTTACTTAATGTGCGCGTGTGTGTGTATTTCTGGTGTAACTTACTTGCGGGGACATTTATTTAAAAACGCTATTGTGTGTGAGTGCCATTCTGGTACAACAAACTTGTGGGGACATTTATTTAAAAAGTGCTATTGTGGGGACATTTTCAGGTCCCCACTGAGACAGGGAGTATTTTTGAGTAATGAGTAACATTGAGTTATGAGTAGGGGTTGGGGTTAGAGTTAAGATAAGGATTTGGGTTAGACATTTAAAATGTCTATAAATTTAATTTCATTCATTTTCAATAATTTAAATGCTTATAAAGATGTTTATGTTTAAATGTTGTATTAATTGTACATGGTAGGTTTCAGATTTATTCAATTGAAAACAGTGTAAATGTGAAAATATGAATTTTCCCCTGTGTACCACTCAAGAGCGTTGTACGCGTACCACAGTTTGAGAACCACCGACTTAGAGTAAAGGGCCCGGGAATGCATCTTGTGTATGTGAAGTGCTCATAAAACATACAAACCAGTGTGTGTGTGTGTGTGTGTGTGTGTATCTATCAGGTGTAAACAGGCCTGAGGGCTTGTACTGTCAACATTAATTCTGCAGGGAACAAAAGTCTGAGTCTAAAAAGGCTGGTATTAACATGCAGCCCACATCAAGTGCAGCTTTTAGCAGTTGCCTGAGTCTGATTCTGTCAGCGCTGTTTTTATGTTGTGAGCATTCATCTTATTGTGTGGGCGTGTGTCCTCCCACAGAACTCCATACCTCTGTGAAAACGTAGCACTCTCTGGCTCCCTCCATGGGCAGGAAGTGAAAAAACAGCCTTTGTACCTCATCAGCAGTTTGCGTCTGTGTGGCTGTTGTCGACCTGGGAAAGAGAAACGGAATGATTTACAATCAGGACTCTGAGGGGAGCAGCGTGATTTGTCAGGGCCAAGCAGTACCCCTGGACTGACTACAGGGGGCAGGATCTCTGGCCTCATCCCTTATAGTTCATCTTCTTGTAATAAAATAATAATAAAAAATAAACAAGACTTGTTGAGGCCAAAAGGTTTCTGATGTTGGATGTTCTAATAGAACTCTCTAGAACAGTTTAACGCAATACATTCACTTTTATAATTAACTTCTATCTGGCCTTTTTTTATCATCTTCATCATCAGTAAAGTCTGACATCTTAAATTCACACGTGTCACTTCCTCCCTCAGATTTGATGACAGGAAGTGTTCAGAGGTCGGTGTTAGAACCAGCGACATCTTTGATGAACTCTGACGGTTCTTTTTAAAAAAAACCTCAGTCATGTTTTAGCTGAAGTCGAAAGAACAGAAACTTTTCAGTTTTTGTTTAAATTGAATGTCATGAAAAAAAAGATTGGTTTTTCATTCCGATCTGTCGGGGGTCAGTTTTCACAGCAGGAAGTGCGACTTTTTATCATAAGAAAATTGACTTCTGAAGTCTGACTGTGCTCCGTTACTGCGATCAATACTCCAGGAAAATGATTTTGCAAATGTGTTGTTCTGTAATTATTGGAGTCCTGCGTGTCGACCCTCTTACTCTGCCAGGGGCAGCGGGGGGGGAAGGAGGGTGTTAGGGTGACGGATCATTAACTAACACCCCCGCACCCTCGGTGTGCCTTTAAGTAACGTCCACGTTTCTCTGACCTTACTTCAGGGACTGAGGAAAGCATTTTTTTTCTCTTTTTTTTTTTACAGCTTCAAGAACATCTTGGGTTTTATCTCCACTCCTCTTCCTGCTCCATTACATTTGAGCAGTTTTGCCTCCGTCGGATCATTCCAAACCGAGGACGGCAGTAAACAGAGTGGGATTTTTAATTCAGGTCCCAACACTGTTCTCTGATGAGAGTCGGCGAGATGTTGTTGTGTTCGAGTGTTTCAGATTTGTCATTAACTTTCCTGAGTTCAGTGAGAACCGTGATGAAGGATCTGTTTCCTGATTGTCTCTTCGACTGTGACTGGATGAAGCAGAACCAGATACTGCACCTGGTTTTTTTTTTCTTTCTTTCTTTCTGCTCACAAGCACAAAGACACCTGGTATCTTTCTTCCTGCTCACAAGCACAAAGACACCTGGTACGGACATTTCACATTTTCATGTGAAAGAACCGACACAGATGGTGCTGCAGAGCGCCAGGCGTCCGTTTATATAACCACTTCTTAGGACAACACTTATGCAAACAAAGCAAGTCTGTCTGTTTGGAATGAAGTGTTTGGCTCAATCTGCACTTCCTGATCACAGCTGAGACCAGAATAGATTCCTGTGGAATTAGGCTTTTGTGTTTTTTGGTTTTTTAAAGTCTCATTCAGTCTTAATAATTCAAGTGTGCTGTATTATATTCGATTTGTTGAAGCGTTCAATCTCTGAGAGGTTTCTCTCTCAACGGGCAAAGTGCAGGCTCTTATTTTTATCCACTTCTGTGCTGAAAATACGCTCTGCCCACACGGTTCCTCAGGGTTCTGCAGTTTCATCCACACTGACTTGAATATTTCCACCGCGTCAGTCAATCAGGTTAGAGCAGTGATTACTGACGATGGCACGATCCAAGAGCTGTGCTGCACATGACCAGCTCTAAATGATTTACTGTGAAGGTCCTGTATATATGCAGTACAGCATGAATTATTTTGTAATTAATCAGTGACACTTCTGTTTTTTAATTGGAAGATACAGGGGGTGTAATTTCACCTTTTTCTTTTTTTTTTTTCATGTTTGGTTTCGCAGAGTTTACAGACTACAAACGGTTTAATTCAATCAGCAGCAGGAGGTTGATTTTGGCAATTAACCAGCAGAGGGACACATTCAGCTGTGAAGACGCAAATACGGAGATTGGTTATTAATGACCCCCCCGACCACGGCCCCCACCAGCACCTTGAGATGCAACTAAAAATGACCTGAATCGTTACTGGTGATAATGTTTATTCGTGTTTGTTTTCCTGATTAAAAATTAGAGATGTTGATTGGCCGATATCAGCATAATTATATAATATTGGTGAGAATCGATATCGGTTTTTCCTCACGATAAAGAAACCCGATAACTCAACGCCTGGGTTTTCCCCAAATTATGTGACCTAACAGTTACAGTTTTGAAGTGAAAGTGACATGGCACAATAAAGTAAAAAACAAAACAGACATGCTCTACTCTACTCTCACCTTTTTCTTATCTGACGACTGTGTTTGTGCCTGAACACGGTCTCTGACGTTCAGGCCAATTACTGTGTGTCAGCCTCCACTGATTGTGTTTTAACGCTGCATCGGTTGATGGAAAACAAACATTCTTTATTTACAGCCACGAGTTAAAGATTTCCAGCGCTGCAGTCATTTAACACCAGCGTTGTCTGTATTTACGAGCCGCTCTCACCCGAGCATGTCGTTGAATTCTATCTCTTGCATTTATACATTTCGAGGTGTGACAACAATAAAAAGACGTGATTGACCGGGCAGACGGTAATCAGCAGTAAAGGTGTTTATGAGGTTCTTTGTTTCGGTGCGTTCGTGTGTCAGGGCCACGCTCTGTCGTCAGGCCCAGGGCAGAACTGATTATCAGAGAAATGAAGAGCTGCATCACAAACAAGGTGGCGCCGTTACTCTCTTTAACCTCCGACAACAGTTTGAACGTTTCTGTTGATCAGCTTCATCGATCGTCTGCTTCGAACTGATGTTCTATATTTTCTTTGTATCTTTAGAGGTTGTGAGCAACAGTGTCAGGAATTCACCCTGTTACTTCACCCAAACATACGTTTCATCTGTGCAGGAACATTCACACCTTTTAACCCTAACACCTGTGAAACACGGCCTTGTTCCTCTGCTGCTCTGTTTGGGGAGATTTTAACGTTGTTGCCAGTGTTGAGGTCATCCTGAGGAGATGAGAGATGTTGTTTGGGCAGGTCATCAAATATTCAGTCTCTGTAAGACTGATTTCATTTATTTGTCCAACTGATACTTAAATCTTCATACGTCTATCAATATTTATGCGTCAGTGTTAACACGCCGTCAATATCAAAATCGATACGATACCTTATTTACTGCATCAGGTTCCTGCAGCCTTTAAATACTGTAGGTGGGACAAAGGTAGTGTAATGTAAGAACTTTGTACTATGTCTTTCTGAGGTGTAAACACTGTTCACAGGGAAGTTCTATATGGTAAAATTCAAATATTTCCATTTGAGATACACTTGAGCTGAGACCAAAAAAAAGGCTTAGCCATTCTTTTTGGAGAACCTACACACACTAGTTGTTGCACACTACTAGTTTCATCCCGACAACTACATTGCTTCGCTTATTTGCAACGTATAAAAGACTAAATAACAAAAGTGTTTATTTAATTGATTTACAACAGAATGGCTAACTGTAAACTCTTCTGTTAATAATTAATAAAAGTGTTTATTTAATTGATTTACTACAGAATGGCTAACTGTAAACTCTTCTGGTTGTTGTTGTTTTTCCAGAAAAAGGAATGGCTGTGTCTGAACTGCCAGACCCAGAGGGCCATGTCAGGAAGCTTGGGGGATATTCCACCGCCAGCTGCACAGCCCACGGGATCGCCACGGGCCAATCACCAACCAGCCCAGCAGAAAGGGCCCACTCAAGTGTCAGGGCCTAGGACCTCAAGTCCTCATCAACAACAGAAAACACCGGGTCCCCAAGTAAGTGGCCCTAATTCTTCTGTGAAACAGGCAGGGCTTGTCCCTCAAACTAAGGATCTTGTTAAAAAATCCCCTCCAACCAAGACTTCTCCCCAAAGTGTTCCCCAACACAAAGGTACACATCAGACACCGTCCCAAACTAAGGGTCCAACACAACCCCCAGCTCAGAGTAACGGTCCTCAAATGAAGGGTCCTACTCAGTCACACGCTCAAAATAAAGGGCCTAGCCAGGCTTCTAACCAAGTAAAAGTCCCGAACCAGGCCAAAGGACCACCTCATGCCAAGGGTTCTGCTCAGCCCTCTGCTCAGGGCAAGGGCTCCTCACATTCCTCTGGTACAAAGGCTTCATCAGCTCCTGGTAAAGGCCAGAGTAACCATGCCAAGGCCTCTACCACTCCATCAAAAACAGCATCTATTCAGTCTAAACCCACAGGTAACAACCAGGTCCGCAAACAGCCTCAGAACCAGGAGAAGACCAAAGTTTCATCTAAAGCTCTTAAAGAAGACCCCAAGAGCTCACAGAAGAAAGCAATGTCGGAGACGACCACTTCACCCAAAGACACGAAGATAGTTGACGACGCAAAGACGTCGAGACACCACGAAGTGAGCTACCTGCAACTGTCCCGCCTTCATCTGTTTCTCTTGATTCACCTCTTTGATTAGATTTTTGTCTCCATCCGAATAATTAGAAACCATTCGTCATCCATATCTCAAAAATGTCATGAAGTTAATTACAAAAATCACAATCATTACACTCATTTATTTTTAATTCTGAAATGCCAACATTCTATTACCAAACTTTTATATTTCTATTTTTATTATTACATTTTACATTTATAGTAATTTAATCATTCCATTTCCATTTTTTTTCCATTTGTTTATTTTTAAAGCTTCATAGAGTAAATACAAGTTAACATTTGGTTTTATACCTAAAGGAGTACATTTTTTAAATCGATATCTTCACCCCCGAGAGCTCAATATCATCATCATCATCATTACGATCCTCATCTTCATCTTCATCATCATCAGTACCATGGTCATCCTCTCCTTTTGCCATTTCCCAACATTGTTTTTCATTTCTTATCAGATGCAAGCTTTCTTCGATGTGAGACTTTGTGATGACACTTGAAGCATTCTAAGCATGTTCGTTATTCTTCAGTGGTTCGAAGAATGCAATGGAGAATGCGTCAGAAATGCAATCAAGCATGTGACCAAATGACATCGTCTGTATATGTTTGTAACCTCGACTGTCTGCTCAGTTCACGTTGTGCGTCATTGTATTTATTCATCTGTCTGTACAGAACATTTAGAGGCAAACTCAACCCAAATGTATTCTGTAACAAAGTAATTATAAACTACAAAACGCTTTCACGTCGGAATGGGAACTAATTATCTAATTTATTAAAAACTCATTTATATGTGGAGGTTACAGAAAAGTACGACTCCTTCAACACAACAAATGTTATTATGAATACAAGATTAATTTGCTTGCTTTCTAAAACTACAGTATGTTTCAAATGAGTTGTTTGGGTTGATTTTATCCTAATTAATTACACTTTACAATTTTTGATGTTTTCATAAATGCGTAATTATGTTGTAAAATATTAATAACATCTATTCTATATGTGTGTGTGTACATGTGTTTACGTGTCAAATTTATCCCTTAAATATCTAAGATAAAATACCATTAAACTGATGATGTTTGTGTTTATTGATAAAAACTTGTCAAAGACGTGAGTTAATACTGAACAAGAAATGTGACTTTTAAGAAAACAAAAAGATTTTGACTTATACTTTCTGTTTTTATCTTTCTCTAGGATTCCAATAAGTCGAGTACACAGAGTTTAAGCGACACTGGATATTCATCAGATGGAATATCCAGCTCTATGGGGGAGATCACAGGCCAGATTCGGGAGGAAGGTATGAAGCTGAACAAAGGAGGTGCAGCGATGCCTTCAGCCATCAACAAACTAGAGAGTTCAATGAAGCCTCTGTTGGAGTCAAAGACCAGTGACCATAAACACAGGCCGCACTCGCTCTCCGTTGGAAAAGAGCGGGAACATGGTCCTGACGATGACGCTGTGAGGGATGAATCAGAGGATGATCTCAGCTGCAAACTTCGCCACGATTACGTGGAAGACAGCAGCGAGAGCGGTCTGTCACCATTGCCAGTAAGACAGAAGAAGTCGCATAAAGATGTAACGGATGAAGACTACATGAGGAAACAAATTATGGAAATGAGTGCCGATGAAGAGGACGTTGAGGAATATGCAAACCAAAAGGCTAAGAAAGGCACTAAAACCAGCGGGGATTTAAACAAGGAGAGACGACGCCTCGCTCACCATTCCAATAGTTTTGAGGACGATACCAAGGTATCTGAAGGTACAGAAGATGAAAATGTTGTAATGGCTGGAGGACTTAGACGCTTTAAGACGATTGAACTAAACAATTCTAACAGCTATAACCGAGATATGGAGCTTAACACTGACCATGACCTACGAGAACCAGAGCTCGAGATGGAGAGTCTGACCGGTTCTCCTGAGGAGCGGTCCAAAGGGGAGTACTCATCCACCTTGCCTGCCACCACCCCTAGCTACACCTCTGGAACATCCCCCACATCTGTATCCTCTATGGAGGATGACAGCGACAGCAGTCCGAGTCGAAGGGCGAGACTCGAAGAAGCAAAACAACAAAGAAAGGCTCGACATCGTTCACACGGGCCTTTGCTCCCTACTATAGAAGACTCATCGGAGGAGGATGAGCTTAGAGAAGAGGAAGAGTTACTTCGAGAACAGGAACAAATGAGAGACCTTGAACAGCAGAGAATCCGAAGTACTGCCCGAAAAACAAAAAGAGACAAAGAGGAACTAAGGGCCCAGAGACGCCGGGAACGATCTAAAACTCCCCCCAGTAATCTATCTCCCATTGAGGATGCTTCACCAACAGAAGAGCTGAGACAGGCTGCAGAGATGGAAGAGCTTCACAGATCGTCATGTTCGGAATACTCGCCTTCGATGGACTCTGAGGCTGAGGGCTTTGAAATAATTGGTGGAAAGCTTTACAAATCTGGGAATGAATTTAACCTTCCAACTTTTACGTCCCTTTACTCGCCCACAGATAAGGCGTCAGCGGTGTCGCCCTCTGATAAAACTCTAAAAAGTGCAGAGGAGGTCTATGAGGAGATGATGAAGAAAGCTCAGCTTATGCAAAACCAAGGACAAACAGCTGATGGTAGGCATCATCTAAGAACTGGAACTGGCGTTTCACCTGGTACAAGCCCAACACAGGTTACAGCACCCATGTCTTTTTCTGCAACAGATCCAAGAGTTCCAGGAATCCATGCAGCACAGCATTTATCAAGGGAAACACAGAACAGGATGATGACACAGAGTGCAAAAATTGAAGGTGTTGTTGGAGGTGCCACAACAAAACCTCAAGACACTCGACAAACCACTCAGAAAACAGCACATGCAACACCGGACCCTGGATCCTCCTCCCTCACAACCAAGGTCTTTTCATTTTTCAAAGGTTCCAGTCCCCCCGTTTCCCCTCCTACTTCTCCAGGACAAAGCCCAACACATACGCCAACTGTGCGACCCACCGGCAGCGGTGGCAGACAGCTCCCAGTCTTGCCTGGTGGTCCTACAGCAGCTCCTCAAAGGACAAGTTCACCACGTCTGGCACGACAGCAATCCTCTCAAGATTCACATGCAATGGTAAAAACGCATAGTTCTGAAACAAATAGTCCTACTAAACCACAGACGGTAAATTCATCCACCTCACCGCTGTCATCACCAACACAGGTTGGATGTAAAACGTTGCACGGCTCCCAGGTTGTATCGACGGGCTCCCCAACATCCCAGCAAATGCATTCATCACAACATGTCTATGTTGAAAAGGTCAACGTTGGTGTTAGTACTGTGACCACAACTACTCATAGTCGAGGATCAATGGAAAACATATCCCCGTATAAAACCTCAGATTCAAACATTGTGAGCCAGGGCCACAACTGTACTGTGGTTGATCTGAGAACCCCAATGAGGGCTGCCCCAATCATAATGACAGACCAGGGAATGGACCTAACATCTGTTGCCTCTGACACGAGACGATACTCTTTTGGTGCCGAGCACATATCTGGCCGACAGACACTGGTACAACCTCTTACCATGAACCTAAATGCCCAAGAGCAACCCCATGTTTCTGCATCTACCCCAACCACAGTTAGTGTCACAGTAGCAGGATCCACCAGCGTGGGTCCTCCCAAGCAACCCATAATTTATGGCGATCCACTGAATAATCGTGTAGATTATGGGCAGTGTATTGGAGCAGCTGTTTGTTTAACTCAAAATAAGGCTCATATCAATGACCCATCTATTCCCCAAATTGATGCCTGTCTGGAGAACCTGGGTATACAGCAGCAGCAGCTGCAGTTACAGCAGCAGAAGCTACTGCAACAGCAACAACTCCTTGAGCAGCAGCTGCAGCAACACCAGCAGCAGTCATCATTTGCTCGTTATAATTTAGCTAATCAGGTATCGCCACTGCTAATAAAAAAGGACCTTGTCGTCAGCCAGACAAGCAGTACATCCTTCGCAGTAACTGCAACTGCAACTGCCATACCCGGAGTATCCTCGCAGGCTCCCTCATCGGGGTCTTGGGCTCCTGCTTCTAATATTTCCAACGACATTTACGGAGGAGCTGCTATAGAACTAAAAAACAAGCCGGCAGCAGTGAACTTGTCCACAGGTAAACCTCATGGTATGATGGTGCAACTTGATGAGAGTAACACATTAAAGGGGGGGACAGTTACTCAGTTACTGAAACAAGAGGAACAACCTCTACCTCCTCAGGTCTTGGATCTTACAGGGCAAATAAAACCCGAAAACCAGGTTGCCTGTTGTGATGTTGTTTACAAACTGCCCTTTGCTGGTACTTGTTCAAAGTCATTTACTCAGAAGCCTGTTTCTGGATCCTCAGATAAAGATCCTATCACTGAAACCTCACAGGCAGGTCATTCACCCCATCCACTTAATTACAGTACCAGCCAACAAAAAGAACACCCACCTCACGCTTCACAGGAAGTTGCAGGGGATAAACCTCATCAACCGCCAACTGTTCCCTTAGGAAAAATTCAAGGCTCGATGTCTGAAAACAATCTCCCTTCATTGACAGAAACTGGTCAGTTCCCTTACAGTGTCCAAGGGAGTCTCGCAGTAGATTTTAGTGGCATGAATCCAACTTTGGATAGTGCATATCTTGGCATGGGAGCACAATATGGATCTTATACAGACCTCCGTCATCAAGGGGATTTGTCTGGCTCTCCATTACCACTTCGCAGATATGGTTCAATGTCAAATATAGATTCTGACTATACCTTGACTTCCCATGATCAGACAGGATCACATGATGGCAATCTGGCAAATTACAGTGCAACCACTGCCAGGGAGATCAGTCGCATGTGTGCAGCTCTGAACACGGTGGACCACTTTGGAACCCGCTATGGAACAAACCCTGAACTGGCAGCATATGCAGCTGGACGAGGTGGATCTTTAGGGAGGCTAAATTTTCCACCAAACTTAGCTTCAGTAAGAGCCAACCTGTTGTACGGCACAGATGGAAGACCGATTGCAAATGGGCAAACCCTGACTAATATAATAAACGCCAGACAAGTAGGTATACGTGCATTGTACCCTGCTGCTATGAGAGGTGGTGACGGCATGATTTACTCCACAATTAACACTCCAATTGCTTCAACCTTGCCAATTACTACTCAGCCTGCCTCTGTTATCCGCCCTATGCCAAAAGGAATATACAGATCATACCCGACAGGTGTAACAGCTGTACCACTAGCGAGTCTTACCAGGTTGCCTCAAGTAACACCAAGGATGCCACTGTCCACACAGGAACCATATTCATACCCGCCTTCAGCCCAGTATTCTACTTCACCTTTACAATCAGGAAGTGACAGTGTAAGTAGCAGCTCACACCAGGACAGTCCTATGTACCTTGGAAAGCCTTTAACAACACCAGCAGCAACCATTCCGCTAGCTCACCCTCCAGCACACTCGAGTGTACAAAACCTGCCATCATCTGGAATGCAAATCACAGCGGATCAGCAGACAGATAGAGCTCAGTCTGTTCCTTCTCGTGCTCAAAGCCAGCCTTCGGCTAACGAGCAAATGCAGGCTCAAATGCAATCACAACACTTACAACCCGCTCAAACTGAACCTTTGTCTTTGACTCAAACACAAACTCAAATTCAAACACAGGGCCAATCACACGGGATTCCTCAAAGCACGCCCCTTTCCCAAGTGTCAAAGGTCTCCCCGCCCATGGATGGACAAAAGGTTAAGGAGGACGAGAGACTAAGTCAGCAACAAGAGCATATGCTACAGCTAGAGCGAGAGAGGGTTGAACTGGAAAAACTACGGCAGTTGCGACTTCAAGAGGAACTGGAAAGAGACCGCATGGAACTCCAGCGACACAGAGAAAAAGAACAATTACTTGTTCAGCGTGAGATTCAAGAGTTGCAAACAATAAAACAGCAGGTCCTACAGCAGCAGCAAGCAGAGAGGGAGACACAGCTAATAATGCAAAGAGAACAACTGGCTCAGCAGCGAATGCAGCTTGAACAAATTCAGTCTCTGCAGCATCAGCTACAGCAACAGCTAGAGGAACAGAAACGTCAAAAGACGGCAGCAGTTGAGACGGTAGCTGCCGCAGCAGCAGCCGAGGCGGGGGGAGCGGCGGGCGCAGGAGGGGGCGGGGGA